ATGTTTTTGTTAAATCTAATAAAGATAAGAGCATGGTCTCACCTTTAATAATAAAAAAAAAAAAAAAACTAACTGTTTAAATATTATTTTATCTGAATATAAAATTCTTTTCCCATTTAACTATGTTGCACTCCCTGGCAACTCAACTACTATCCCAATTTATATCCTTAACAATATTTTAGAGGATGCAATATACAATTCAAACTGACTTTAGATCCTTTTACAAGACATAAACAAAGCTTACAAATCTGTTAACTTTGATCTATTTCAAAAAGCACTATACAGAATTAATATACTACAACTACTTATCAACCTACTTACCAACTTTCTAACAAATTGCATGAATCGAGTTATTACCAATTTCAGCCTTACTAGCCTCTATGCTATTCAAAATAATATTGATTAGAGAGAAACTATTATTTCATATTCTACTATGACCCATTAATCTTAAAAATCTCAACACAACTCCCAGGCTACACTATGTATACCTCATGGCAAACAAGCCTAACTATACTATTTACTAAGAGACTATACTACTTCATATCTATTCTTGCTTATATGAACAACAAGATATATATAGCCCAAACCAAAGAATATCTAGAAATAATTATATATGTAGCCTTATTATTCTATAATATGGCAAACATCCAAGTCAATCTTTCCAAATCGATCTTTATATCCAATTAAACTAATGCAAGCTTAATTACAATTTCTACCAGCCAGCTATTCAAATTTTTAGAATGCTGGTTCACTCTTAATAACAAATATTCAAAACAAATTAAGCTTATTTAAGAAGAAGCCCTCAATATAGCATATACTGCCAACTCCAAAAAGATAACTAATAAACAAATAATCTATATCATCAGCATAGTTATAATTCTGACAATAGAATACAGAATTCATAACTTAGTTATCTCTTAAACTATATATACTCAAATTCTTGGTAAATACTTTATAATTGCCAAATACAAATCTTATCTATTCTGAATCACCCCCAATAGCACAATGCTCTGTCATAAGATTTACAATATCTATAATATCTGGAATATACAACTTAGCACCATGCTAACAACTTATTTATTAGAATCAAAAACAACTTCACACTTAGTACTACTATCTATATTAGACTCTAGCAATTACAAAACAATCTTTGGTCAACTACTAGTATACTCCAACATCTCCAACCCAGTATAGATAGATCTAACAAATACACTACCACTCTTAAAATAATCTAAATGCTTCAACAGGCTGGTATCAGCCTAATCATAAACACAAACAATAGTAAAATATATAAAATTCAAACTGCAATAACTCTTGAACCAGCAAACCTACATAAATAAAATTAAATTTGCCGGGTTCATTCTTTAAAGTGACAACGCTCTTTTGTTGTCATCTTACAAGATATTCGATTTTAATAATTGAATTATTATCTTAACACATAAATAAAAACAAAACCGCTGTTATTTTAGAGAAAATGGTAAAACAAACCCGAAAAAAGTAATTTTATTTGTGTGGGATTATTGGTTTGGGAGCTATTGCAGCTTGAATTTTACATGTTTTTACTATTGCTGTCGTTGTTCTATGAAAAATCCTTATCATTAGAATTTACTATATGGGCCATGAAATGATCTTATGGGACTATGTAGATTTTACGAATAAAAATAAGGTAGCTGCGCGACATCATCGCACAAAATCAGAAACAGGAAAGTATCTAATATCAAGTGGCTTAAAATTTTAGGTTAGAATTATAATTAGTCAAACTTGTTAGTAATAAAAAATGCTTAATAAGTACTGTTAATTTTTCGCAACGGTGGGAGTAAGAGGCAAATTCCCAGTTATATAAGGGCCTGAAGGGCCCTTATATATGACCAAATATCTACGGCTTATTTCCCTACAGTTGAAAAAATAAGGGGGTTATGACGGCAGACCGTATAATTTGTAGTAGTGAAAACTTTTTTTTTTTGATTCAAATTTCACAAATCAGGTATAGTTTTTAAAATAGGTATTTACATCTTCTTACCATATAATTTTGTCATTCAATTTCCAGATCTTCTGTAATTTCTAAAATACTTATTTTGAAACCACTCCGTACGATCTGCTATTGGGTATTTTATACTATTACTGTACGAATTTGATCACCAGTAAATGGCATAAAAATATTTAAATGCTTAATATGTACTGCTAATTTTTCGCAACGGTGGGAATAAGACCAAAGATCTATGGCTTATTTCCCTACAGTTGAAAAAATAAGAGTTATTGTATGACAGCAGATCACATAATTTGTAGTAGTGAAATCGTTTTTTTTTTGATTTACAAATTTCACAAATTAGGATTAGTTTTTAAAATAGTATTTACATCCTCTTACCATATAATTTGGTCATTCAACTATCCAGATCTTCTGTAATTTCTAAAATACTTATTTTGAAACCACTCCGTACGGTCTGCTATTGGGTATTTTATACTCTTGCTGTACGAATTTGATCACCAGTAAATGGTATAAAAATATTCAAATTTATGACCATCACTAACCACTCAATAACAATACAAAATCTGTTCACCCTGTGTATCGATTTTGAGAGTTTCAACAGTACTATTTAACCTCTCAAAACTGATCCTGTCAAAATCAATAGTCTGTGAAATCCAATTATAAATTAATCTACAAGGTCTGTTTCCATTATATAAATCTAATAGCTTATTATCTTCAAATCCGATAACCTCTTAGTAATATTATCACCATGTAAGTCGATTTTGAGAAGTTCACGGGTCATGTGGGTAGTGCCACTTGCAGCAATTGTTGCAAACGAATCAATAGTGCTATCGCTAGAATATTTTGACCCTGCATTGCATATTGTGCATATTGAGCATTGGCGGCGCCACCCACATGACCCGTAAAATCGATGGCCGTTCTAGTCGTATTTTCACAGAATATATGGAGTTGCATAATGCATCATGCGACATAATGTTGCATTATGTGATGCAAGGCCAAACTAAAATCCGTTAATTTGAGATTGAAAAAAGCGGGAAAAAGGTTAGTTCTTATTTTCTGAGTTATACGTTAATTACATTTGATTCCCATTTCTAATTGTTTTTTATGGAGATTTACATCATCTTAGTAAAATAGGGCGAATAACGCCGCGGGGGGGAATAATAAGGGCCGCTATGGAGGAATAATAGAATGTTCTCATGCAGTTCTCAATTTGATTTCTAGTGATCATGATGCACAAATCATACTAATTTACAACTCATGAATATAACTTATCTAATTTAAATATTAATAAAGGTTAGAGGTCAATCCGGATAAATCCGTCATCCATTTATCCGGATATCCATTTACTATTGGTATCCGGATATCAATAGTAAAACGGATATACTGTACGAAATAAATTTAGATCTGGATATCCAATAGATAAATGGATTAACGGATAATGGGTAGGAACTCTAGAGTTAGCTATAGAGCGTTTTTATAGGTCTATTATCCAATCAGAATAAAGCAGCCTATGCTTATATGGAATAATCTGGAGCAAAACCCAGGTTGCTCCATATGGAGAGGTCTGGAGCAAAATTATTTTTATAACCTGGAGCACTAACCTTGAGCACAACTAACCTGGAGCACAACCTGGTGTGTTAATTTAAATATAACCCCGGGTTGTGTTGAAGTAAGGTCTGCACCATCTAATTTTAACCCAACCCACTCCACCCCAACCCTACATATAAATAATTAGTTTAATATATGCTTAAAAACTATGCAATGGATGATGATTTAACTTACCATTGCTTTCAAAAATTATGGGGATGTTCTTTAGAACCTTATAAGGTCATGAACGCAATGGTGCTAGATACTCAACTAAAATTATTCATGTTCTCATACTCACGAACTAAAATTAAAATTAAATAATAAATACTCGTGAATTTGAATAGTTATTTTCTAATATATAGTTATAAAATGTTTTATATTCATGGACTAAAATAAGCACAAATAAAATAAAATTAAATATTAAATTGAATAAATTAAATACTTAAACTAATAAATGGTCATGGAGCAAATGGTTGGCTGACATGCATTATTTATAAGTCATTAGGCTAACTGAGTTTTAATTGTGCTTATGCAATAACGTACAAAAAATAACAAGAAGAAAAAAATCTATGATCATAAGAGTTTGCACGATAACATCGTAATATTTGGTTTGAATACTCTATTTTAAATATTTATATAAGTACCATCGTAATATTTGGTTTGAATAATCTATTTTAAATATTTATATAAGTACCATCGTAATATTTGATTTGAATTATCTATTTTAAATACTTATATTAATAAGCGTAAAGAAGTATAAGCTCAAAAATAAATGATGATATGGTTTCCAGGAAATTACTATTTATACGTAAATATAACAAGATAAGTAAAACGCTTAAACTGTATAAATTAGTTGCTCATCGAATCAGCCATTCAGGCTAATTCCTCTTTAGTTCCAATAATTTTTCATTGGAATGTTCTGCTATAATTAGTGACACTTTGGCACGTGAAAAAGAACTGTGACCTGAATTATAGTAATTATAGTTGAGATAAACTACTGTAAAAGAATAGAGAATTAGATACTATAGTAAAAGGGAATAATTCGTAAAAAGTAACTTAAATGAGTAATACTTATCTAAAATATTACTTGCGAATCCCAGGACTGTCGCAACAAGCATATAAAAACACAGATCAGTCTCGCTTCGATCGAAGTCTTCCACATTAAGGTGCAGGATAGTTTTCGTCATTCAGAACCAACGTTACGCTGGTGTGACCATATCTCCGGATTGTTCTGGTCTAGAACATTTTCACCGGCTTTTCCAATTAAGGAAATTGAAATTGGTATGATGACGTCGATAGCGTAACGGTAACCGATAATTTTGTGTTATTATTATTATTATGGTGTGTCCATCCAATTTTTATAAATGGTTAAAACAAACGAAAATAACGATTGTTGATTATCCTTTTCTTATTCCCTTAATAAATCATGAGTACTGATATTTTTGCTTCTCAATATAGACCTAAAAATGAGCAACAGATAAAGATTGCCATTTATGTTAAAGACGCTACATCCGAACCTGAAACTTATACTGTGAATAATTTAGATAAAAGTAAATCATTAAAAGATGCGCGGAAATATTTATCTGAATTAAAAGGAATCTTTATGGGTCTACAGAATGCTGTTTTTCGTAGTGCATCTCAAAAAATTCCTCATAGTCATGAAAATGTTTGTAGAGTAGAGGATATTTTGGTTCGAGAGCCTGAATTCTATTCCTTATATATTGAAAAAGATGAATCAATTCCTTGTGTCCCCGAACTTGTGCACCTGCGTAAATTAGATCGAGGACTTATAAAACTTAACGATAACAGTATAAAGATGGCAAGTATGCAAGCATTCTATATAAAAGATTTGCATATGAAGGATATTATTATCCGGAATAAACTTGAATCTGTTCGCAAAAGGACTATCAAAAACTTCGACCAATTATGGAATGAAAGTTATGAAAATGAACATAAAAAAAACGGAGATAATATTGAAGAAAATTATGAAGAGGAACTAAACGAATATAATATTGTATATTGTCAAAAAGGCACAATATTATTATCTTGTAAAGAGTTGGAAGTAACAGATGAATATATTAATGCTATTAAAGATGCATTGAAAGACGATAATGATATTCAAAAAATAGAGAATTTGAAAAAAGTTGGCGATGAATTTGGATTTTTTGGGTAGGTACTTTTTTATTAAAGTGAAAGATTTAATTTAAATGTCCTCATTAATACAGTATAATTGAATTTACATTAGAGTGAAAGAAATTATGCTTGGTGGCAAATCAATAAATGACAACCGTTTCAAAAAAAAAGCCATTGGTGGTGATGAAATGTCTGGAGAAACATCTAAGTGGATAAAATCCTTAGAGTCTTATAAGACGTGGGATATTATTGGATATGGAGATAAATTCTCACTTTATGAATTACTATCAGAAGAATTGCAATTAAAAATAAGACAGCTTATTGGTATGAGAGTGTTGCATTCACATGTTGAAGAAATCAACATAAGAGAAGATTATGATTTCAAGTTACCGATTACTTTGCGTATCCCTGTGCCACCAGATATTTTAATATTGGAAGACTACAAAATATTTGCTTCAATTTTTAACAAGGAAAATAAAGATCCTTTTAAAAATGTATTCGGAATTCGTATTGATTATCAAAATGTGAAAAGTCCATATTTTGTAATTCACCGCATTGGTAAGATTCCTAATAATCACCCACAAATAAATCTCAAAATTCCTTGGATAGTTATTGGACGCAAAAAGGACCTTCCGATTCGACCGATTCCAAATATCACTGGCCTAGAATATATTTGGACCAAGGATCATAAAAACGCAGAAATTAAGCTTCATAGGTCAATTCCGTATCATCATTGTTGGATAGGCACGTGTGTATTATATTGTGACGAAAATCCCAACTACTTGTTTGGACAGTCTAGCAATGTCATAAGTTATCATTTTTGTCAATCAAGTAATGAGTTATCAATAACAATATGTTGTAATCAAAATAGCCTTCATAATGATGATGAATTGGATAATTTTAAAATCAACTGTACTATTCTTAGTAAAAATAATGCTGGTGGATTATCCCCTAATACTGCTATTGGACCGTCTACTCAAGTTTGGAAAAAGAAAAAATGGAGACTTCTTACTTCAGGAAACCTTTTTACTGGAAATAAATGGGTGCTACCTGATAACGATCTTGTTTTTGCAAGTCTTATATATCCAAATTCAGAAAATACATGTAAACATTTTTTTCTCAATATTAATCAAAAATATCCAACTATCAAATCACTGGATAATATTGGTATGCGTAACCCTGATTGTCGACTTTCTTATATTTCGTTCAATTAACCTAGGTAAAATATTTATATTTGGAATTGTAAAATATTATATATAATCTGTCTTAGTCTTGAGAAGTGATTAATTCTCTCAAATTGAATAGTGGTATGAAATTTGTGTGAAATGTTATGGCTAAATGCTTTTTTATAATAAAGCTTGAATTAATAATGATAAAAATATTATTGTATTTGTGATATTGTCACAGTAAATTCTAAACTGTCTTGGTATTCGTGATTCGGCGACTATTTTTAAATTGTAATTTATTTAAATTTGAAGCATAGTTAAGACGTAAAATTAAAATAGCTAATAACTAACTATTTTAACTCTAAGTCTTCGATTTACTTATTATGCGCCCGTGATTCGTACCCAACAGAGAAAAACATTTAATTTATTAGTTTTTACGAGATTGGGATATGTAGAATAAACATAATATATACATGACTTTATATAGTTTTTACTATTACATGCAGATCAAAAAAACTTTTACTATAAAAAAATTCAATTAATGATTTTCACTATATACCTGCACTACAGGGGTAATAAAAATAATTCCACTCCTAAGAACTTGTCAAAACTTACTAATTAATCTTGGCTTTTAGGACCGTGACAGATATTACATAATATCCATTTACTATGAAGGTACCACTCTTTCCCCCTATTAGATAATTCTGATTGGCTGATTTAATAATATATATAATAAATATATAGGCTGGTGCTGCAAAAAGAGGGGGAAATTGATAAGCAAAAGATCTTTAGAAAATCAATTTTTATGTTGTTAATTTATAATAAATCCTAAAAAAATACAAATTTTAAAGAGCTATACTGCAAAATTTTATTAATACAACTGCTTTTTTGTTTTAAATAAAAAATGATCCTAATATTATTCTAAATTAATTGTATAAAAATAAATTTTTTAAAAATTTGTCAATTTCTCCTCTTTTTGTAACACCAAGCCTATATATACTATATGAGTGTGTGAGAGTGAAAACCTGGAGCTGCATATAATGATTTACTATGATAAATTCCAGGTTTTCACTCTCATGCACTCATATATAGGTTTACTAATTGATTATGACTTTGAGCTCCTAATAAATTTAAGATATAAATACATGCTAAAATAATGTATTTTTTGGTGCTAAACAAGTTTACTTAGAGCTCAAAGTCATATTTTATTAGTAATATTTTGAGTAATGTAAAATTTTCTATATTTTTATTAGTAAAAATATAGAAAATTTATCACTCAAAATTTTCTAATAAAATATATATTTAAGTTCTAAGTAAACTTATCCAGTATTAATTATTCTAGCATATATTTATTTTTTTTAATTTTTGAAATAAAAATTAGTAAAATTGATAAGAGAATTTCTATTTGTACACAGGGTGTATATATACAGATAGTGTAAAAACCAACTGATATCTCAAAATTTTGATTATCAAACCACCTTTTAGCTTTTAACAAAAAAAATTCCTTATCAAATTTTGGTATAAACTAACTCTTATTCTAATCCCAAACCTACTCTTACTCTAACCATAAGCAAGAGTTTGATTTTTCATTTATTAAAGTTGTTTTAATTAACATGTTATACAAAATTTGTAATTCAATAAATTATATCTGTATATAAACACTATGTGTAAATTAATAAATTTTCAATTGATAAATATTTATAACCAATACTCTAATTTACTATAGAAAGAATGTTTTGTCAAAAGCTCTACTAGATAATTTATTAAAACAATTTGCAAAGCACACACTATCGCTCTATGGTCTTCACAACACTATACCTAAAAATGGATATTCTTCTCTTATTTAATTGACTAGAAAGCCTCTTGGTTATACTTCAATAACAATCAAAAAATTGTACACAACTTTATCAACTCTAAACTAAACTACTTAAAAGCTTTTAAAATTAAATTGCTTCTTAATATGCTGCCAATACATGCTTACTTTTATTCCATATATCCTCTTACTTTTATACTTGATAATTGCTTTTCTTGTAACAGTCCAGACACTCTTCACTAGTACACTTGTTCTAACAATACTCTTCTAGCTCAAACTATTCACTCTTTAATACATAATATTATTCTTAATTTCAATCTTAATCTTTTTATACACTAACTACACAACCTCATACATATTATCACTTCACATCTTTTTTTTAATTCTTTTCTTTAATTTTTTACTCTTATTCTTTTTATTCTATACTTAAAAGTCTTATACCAATACTATTAATCCAGGCTTTAGACTCTTTCAATATCTCATACTCTAATGCTTCTCAACTTATTTTACAAATACTCTACAAAATCTCTAACAAATTATATCACAAAATATAGATTCCCTAATAAAGGTTGGAACCAGTTTTAAAAATTTGAGTTTATCACATAAAAATTCAAGTTTATTATACTAAAATTCGAGTTTATCACTTCAATCATTAATAATTGAAGTAATAAACTCAAACTTTGGTATGATAAACTCAAATTTTTAAAACTAGTTCCAACCTCTACTCCCTACTGTATTAACTTTTCTTACTAAAAAAAAGCACATCAAATTTTTTCTCAATCTACCTCTAATACAATATCTAATATATTTATACCCTCTTTACATAAAAGAAACAAACTAAATATATCTATAACTGCACTTGTGGCTTTGCTAACTAACTATATTTTGAATCTAATACTTGCCCTCCTCTAGAACAAGCATTTACCAAACTTAATATCTGATCTATTATATGGATTAGATATAGTACAACTACTAATAATATCCTAACTATTAAATCTAGGTGAGTTTTGACTACTCTAGTAGGTTTAGATTACAAATAATTAGTTTAAGCTTTAGTTTGAGCTTTTAGTCTGAGCTCTTATTCTTGTATATAATCTATATTTATTTGTTCTTGTACAAATTAAGCTTTTATATCTATGTAATTGTTTATATAAATTAATTAATAAAATATAAGCAAGACCTTACCTTAATACCAAAAAAAAAAAAAATTAATAAAATTTAGAAAATTTATCATACTTTAAATTTTTACTAATAAAATATAGCTTTATGTTCTATATAAACTTATTTAATACAAAAAAATACATTATTTTAATATATATATATATTTTTTTTTATTTCTTTGATAAGTCTTGCTATGGCTTGATCTCTTAGTTATTAATATATATAATTTATATACATTTACTTTTAAGACTAATCTAAAGCTCAACTTCACCCAGTTGCTTATTTTAATACCTAAACACAACCTATCACAAAAGCTTACAGATAAGCTAAAAAAAAGTTTTTTTTATAAACTTTGTATAAAAGGAGTTTTTATATTTTTGTATCCAATATTAGCTCTTAACAAACTAAAATATTAGAACTAATTTCTTTTTTAATTTTTTCTTTTTCTCAAGAAGCATAAGACAAAAGGGAGAAATAAAAAAAATATATTTAATGAAAATGACTAAAAAAGAAAATAGACAAACTAAAAAAAAAAAATAAAATACAAATTTTAAAAAAGAAAAAACAACAAAAGAAAAAAAAAGAACTAATAATACTATTGTAACCTGTATAAGGCTTTAAAAATTATATAACAAATACAATATCTATATATCTCTACTATAAGACTTCATCTTAATATATTAGTTTCTTTCTGACTATACAATCTATTTCAAATAAACCTTTAACTATAAACTAGGCAATAGACCTGTTGTATAATATAGTAACATATTTGTTATTAAACAGAATATATAGTTGCAATTTACTAGATTAACTGAATTTGAAAGAAGTAAACATTGCTAATCTTTTAATAGGAGTAAGCTGTTTTGCTCACTTTTTTAAAAATTTTGTTGTAGATACAAGTGGGTGATAGTAAAGAGTATAAACCTTGCACTTTTTTTAAAGAAAGTATATATTTCTTTAAAAATAATAAGACAAAAGATCTGAGTATACTGCTAATATTCTTTTTGGTAAGTAATAAACTCTGAACTTATTAGCAAGTAGCATATAAGAATACTTCTAAATAAAAAGTGCTATCCTCATAATGAGTAATAAGCTTTAAACCTATTAGCAGATAGCATATAAGAACTATCTCTAAATAATAGATGCTAGTTTATAGTTTTTGTTAGTCTTATATTCTTTTTTTTTAATATAGTTTTACTGTTTTTGTTAAATTTTTTTGTTTTAAAAAATTGGTCTAAGAAATTATTGGGAAAAGTTAAATAATATATTTTCTCTTTAGTTTTCTTAATTTGTAAATACAGATGCATAAAATTGTATTTTTGATAAAAATTTACTAATTTTACTAATTTTTATTTCAAAAATTTATTTTTTTTTATTAATATAATGTCATAGTAGAAACTTTATTACAATAAACCTATATTAATCTAAAGATTAATGGTCCTTCTGTTACTAAAAAGACTTGGGTAAGGGGCAGATAAGTCATCTGACTAAGCTGCCAAATTTCTTCAACTCATTACTAGCTAATAAAAAGAGAATATGGTTTTAGAAAAGAAAAAAATTTTTCTATAGTAAAGATTTCTAATTACATTTGTGCTACAGAGTACCCAATATAACATTACACCTCCTATTTCCTATTTAATACTATTATTAATTTAAATTAATAAAGTAATTCTAGCTAGGATAGGTTGGAGAAAATCTTAAGGTGTTAATCATGACATTATAAGAAGCATGTTGTTAGAAAAAAGTCTTGTAAGTACCATTTTTCAATAGCATTGCATGGATCTATTGGTTGTAAAGGAGGTTTATAGAGAGTTGTTGGGTTATTGAGTAGAGGTGTAGAGAATTTAATGCATTTGGTTTTAGGTGTACTGTTTCAGGCTATTTCCTATTAGTGTTGAAAAGAGTTGCATTTAGACCATATATCATGGTAGAACCAGTGTAGAAAATTATTAGAGAGATTGATAAGTATAGGTTCTGTTTGTTTTTTAGTTAGGGTTTTAGTATTTTGATATATTGTTTTGGAATATATTTCAAGAATTGTAAGGATAAGAGAGTTGTATTGTATATTAGGAGA